AATTTTAAGTTGATTCGATATTTAAGTTTAGTGCATAGATTTCACAAAATTATATGTTACAAATTTATTGCTAACGTATCATTTAAAAACTGTAAAAACGTTAAATAGTTTAGAAATCTGGATAAAATCTGATTCATTGTACCAAATTTGATAAAAATCTATGAAATTGTGCTTGATAAATCACAAACACGCACATACTGACAGTCCAACGAAAGCCAACTGTACACTAAACTCGTAATTTTTGTCCTATTTTTTCTATCATTTGTAGGAAGCAAAGAGGGCCACCTCAAATACGTCAAACGAATTTCACTATTTTCCCATATAGAAAAGATTATTTAATAAGCAAAAGAAGTTGTAACTAATAAATCCACAATACATTTATCATTCAAATTTTGTTCACGATATTCGTTTAGTTTCTTAGTGTCGATAAGCAGCGTGAGGGCGGAGTGATATGGTTCCTGTTGAAGTAGTAGCTGCAGGTGCACTTTTCGAACTTTACACGGTTTATCAGTCAAGCAGAAACAAAAAACAAGGACATATTTTATGCTCCAGTAAGCAAAAAGAGATACATGCAATATTTTAAGAGGAGATTTGTAAGTTTCCACGTAAATTTGTTTCTTTGCATTTGTTAGTAATCTTGGGGACAACGCATCTATTGACTTTATTACCAAAATAATATAGTTTTTGTTCAAAAAAAATGTATAAAGTTTTGTTGGCCAATTTTATAAAGTAAAACGATGCTAGAGAATAATAAAACGTAGAGACATAACAAAGACAAGCACCTATAATAGAGAGAGAGAGAGAGCAAGTGACATATTTACTCTTGCGAATCAAACTTGATCGCTTAGATGTATTGAATATATGCAGAAATAAGGTTATACAAGTATCTCGTGTTATTTATACAATTCAACAGGAACGTACATATATATTTTTTCAAAACTATTTGAGTATGTAAGCATGCTTCCAGTTGATCAAGTTTAATGTGTTCTGAAGGCTAAAAAGTTAATTTATGTATATTTCTTATGTGCTCGGTCTAACTTTTGCTATACAACTGCTTTATCTAAGGAAGAAGTAAAAACAACAATATATTTTTATGTGAAACATTCATCTTTATATTAAAATAACGATGCTTATATTTATCAAATCTAACATTGTGATATGAGTGTTTTTTATTTCCAAGACACTTTAGTTCATGTCTATATACACAAAATTTGTATGTTGTTTTTTAAGGACGCCACCTGTATATATTGTCATCGATTTTATTGTTTTAATGCTGACGCACCCTTGAGTTAATGTTTTATTATGAAACGGTTTATTTCGTATGTTTAAACAATGTATTGAAATTCGTTTGACCGTTTAAATGGACACCTTATAAAAATGTATTTATAAATCTATCTTACAAACATTACTGTACTACATAGAATGATTTGAATGACGTTATTGGAATTGTTACTTAGGTTCTCGCTATGACACTTGTCTGCCCTGTGTAATTATATTCAATTTATCAATCATGACATGTGATTACCTCTCATGTGATTACCTTTTATAGTACCATTTCCGTTTTTAAAAACGACGTTTTGTTCTCCACACTTATAACAATTGTTATCTTTTCTTCCCCAATTATTCACTTATCTCGTCTTTGGGTGCGTATGTACATTACACCAAGTAAAAGTAACCAGGTCCTTTTGAATATTGTGTAATTGGTTTAGTCTTCAGATCTGTAATGTTCTTAATAACACGACCACTTATATCCAAAAGCATGAGAATGTAACTGTTTTATTTTAGTCCGTCTCTCCCTACTGTCAATGTTTAATTCACTTATTGAGAGCTTTCGAGTTTTAGTAGCTGTCTACATATTATCGTGTTCAACTTATTTTTCTTATTGAATTAAATAATAATAACTCAGATTATCTCAACTTTTATTTAGTATATTTAAGATTTTTGTTTTATATTAGAATGTCTTACTTGCTTTGTTTTCTATACAATTACGAAATTAATAAGTTTACGAATGATTTCGCTTGTTAGTATACTAATCAGAATTTTATACACTTTAATCACATGCAACTATTTTTTATGAAACTTTTGTAATGTAAGATAATCCATTTCTACAAAATAATTTTCACAATTATCGAAGTAGAAATACATTAAAAATTATATTTACTACTCAATATATCAAAATTCAGAACCTCTGTAAATTAAATTTCTTTTGGTTAGATAATTTTATACTGCAGTTTTCAACAGTTGCTTGAATTTCTGAAACAACAACCAGATTCTTATTCAATAACAAATCATTTTATACTGGCGAAGCGTGATCTGTAAAGAAATATGTGTAGAATATCAGTCTTATTGTGACGTAAGGTCATACAAACTAAACACGCTTCGCCAGATTTGAATGAAATCCACTAAACTATTCTCGGTCTGTCGAAAAGAATGAAAACAAAAAGAAAATTCTTAAATTCGTTTAAGAATTGAGCACTATTATTATTTTGTTTTAAACACATTATTAAGTACAAAGTTCAATATTTGAATTATTTTAAGTTTAAGTGATCTCTCACTAAATTTCATTTTATTTCAGAAAATAATTCCCATTATTGTTTGTTTGTTTGTTTTGAATTTCGCGCAAAGCTGCACGAGGGCTATCTGCGCTAGCCGTCCCTAATTTAGCAGTGTAAGACTAG